GGGGGGAGCTCTGCAACTTGCCTGGCTGCTTCTTGCTCTGACTGAGGGCTGCTGGGAGCAGGGGGCGGGGCTTGTTGCATGTGCCCGCCCCCTGGGCTCCTTACTGCCAGAGCTCTGCTCCTGTGTGCACCTGCACGAAATGACACCTGACTGGTCATGTTTGGTAGGGGTGCTTTGAGGAAGAGGTTTCCCTGCACCGGATCACATCCTCATATATATATATATTTTTAAATCGATTTTATCTATGAGACTGGGAAGCCATGACCTGGATAACCTGGGCCAGCTCAATCTTGTTAGATCTCAGAAGCTAAGCGGGGTGAGCCCTGGTTAGTCCTTGGATGGGAGACCTCCAAGGAAGCCCAGGGTTGCTACGCAGAGGGCAGGCCAGGGCAAACCCACCTCTGAATGTCTCTTTGGCTTGACTTGGTGGCCCAGGCTGGCCTGAGCTCATCAGATCTCAGAAGCTAAGCAGGGTCGGCCGTGGTTAGTACTTGGATGGGGGACCACCAAGGGCAGCAGCAAGGTGCATGGTACAGCCAGGATCTGAACTCAGGTGTCCCCAGGCCTAGGCAGGCCCTCCAGCCGCTCCTGGCTGTCAACGGAAACCTGGCAGCTCACGGCTCCCCACGATCAGCCAGTCCTGAGCCCTCTCAGATGAATACAGATCAAGCCGCAACATAGTTTGCACAAGGCGGTGCAGGAAAGTTGCACCCGACTTCTCAGTGCTCGTGGGTTTCGACTTCTCAGTGCTCGTGGGTTTCGACTTCTCAGCGCTCGTGGGTTTTGCTTTCTCTTCTGGGCCCCCCTTGATGGTTCCTTCCCCCTTCTCCTTTCAGGTTGGGGTCCCGACATCCAGCCACGTCGCCATGAGCTCCCAGCCCCGCCGCATCCGTCTGAAGCCCTGGCTGGTGGCGCAAGTGAACAGCGGCCAGTACCCGGGACTCTGTTGGGTGGAAGCGGAACGCAAGCGGTTCTGCATCCCCTGGCGCCATGCGACGCGGCACATCCCCAGCCAAGAAGACGAGAACACCATTTTCAAGGTCGGTGGGGTCCGGGGGTGGGGGAGGAAGCCAGGGAGGGAAGGAAGGAGGCCTTGGCTTGCTGACCAACCCCCCCCCCCCAATGCACCCACGCAAACACACACACTGTATCTGGCAAGCAACAGCCAAAGAGCTAGGCTTGCCAACCTCCAGGTGGGGCCTGGGGTTCTCCTGCAATGACAGCTGATCTCCAGACGACAGAGATCCGTTCCCCCCTGGAGGAAATGGCTGCTTTGGAGGGTGGGCCTGATGGCATATCGT